TGAATGAAAATAAAATTAATAAAAAATATAATACATATACATCTAATACCTCATTTGTATTTTAAAAATAATCTACATACATAGATTTATAGCATTATTGCTATGAAAATACATAATAGGTACCTATATGATGTGTAATTACGCATTTCTGTAAATCTTGTAGAAAATTAATATAGGCTAATAATAGTTCAATAATCATAATTTACCTTGTATAACTTGCTTTCAATTGCTTTCAAATCACCGATCAGTCTTTAAAGTAGAGATACGGAAAAATCCTTGGCAAAGAATATCCCAAGATCCTTGGGTTTAAAGCTAAAAAAATATAAAAACAGTTAACATATTATCTATTTTTACATATAATATGGCCCATACCTACTACACGCAGAAACGTCGATTTCATAATTTTCTTCATGTAATTAATATCATATATACTTTATTAAAGTGTTAACAAGGAACTTTATACCAAAAAACATCTTTGTACTTATAAATTTCAGCCGAAATATCAGAAACAAACTTCCAATCAAATCTAAACGGCAAAAATTAAAATGGTGCCCCACCTTGCCAGAGGCCTCGGGAGCTGACGCTGACACACAGATAAAAGACAAAAGAACAGGACGCCGACGTGCATAAAAATGTTCCGTAGCAGAAATTGACAGAAATCATATAGAAATATTCAGATTTTTGTCTAGGACAGTCTAGAAGGCCATGCTTTCTGCCTGGGTAGGACCGCGCCAGAACTGTTTCCAATTTTCCGGTTTACTGTCACCCCCCTGAGTCAAACTAACGTATCTAAATTCTTTGACATCTAATCTTTGACAAGTAATAAATAAAAGCTAAAATGCAAGAAAAATATATAATTTAGTTAATTTAAGTGAATTTCATAAATGATCGGTTTGCTACACGTATGTATATTATATAGTCACTTACTAGCGAAAAGTTGTTCCATTATTTCACTCAATTTTTGCCGAGATCTACCGCACGCTACACAACCAACTATTTTAGAGTCTTTTTCGATAAATCGCGATAGTGTCACTGTTAATTTAAGTTCGGCCACAATTTCCATCTAGATTTACTACCTTTATACAACTATCAGTAGTAGAATAAATAATAAATAACATAAAATAAGCTCCATAAAGACTGACAAATCCACAAAATTTCAAATCAAATTCAAATGTGTCAAATGAATCGTCAAACAGAACTGTCAAGGATCCCCATTCTAGAGAGCTTTTATGGTGCCTTTTCCGCCCACCATGCATGAATACATGGATAGCATTATGCTCCTTCCTTAGTCTTCTTATTCAAAGTTATTAATGTTCTCTCTGTTCCAAACATTCGATCATTTGTTGTCAACTCTCAATGTCAAATTTGTGCCTCAATTCTTGTAAAATGATGGAAAGTAATCAAGAAACTGAGTGTTCCTCAGCAGAAATTGAAGAAGCGGCTAATAGAATTATTACTTTTGATATATTACCCAGCAAGTCCAAGGATCAGTACGATTTCTTTTTTTTTTCAATTATCGCTTCAGTGTTATAAGTAAATCACGTGACTTACTTTTAGCACCAGTGCTAAAAGTAAGTGACTTTTACCATCAGTGACATAATGTCACATTTTAGGCACTGACAGCATGCGTTAAAAATTACATTTTTACTGACGTTTGTAGAAAAAATATTTTAAGTTAAGGTCTTCTTTTGGCTACTTAGACTAATCTGGACATGGCCTACTTTGCTAACGCGGAGTCCGAACCGCGGTCCTCAGCCATATCATTGTCAATGACCTACAGACTTGGCGAGTGTCTAAACCGATTCTTACGAGATATCCGATTTCATACAGCCTGGTGCCGACACGAATAACATTTTACACTTTTGCTATGGAAGATCACGACAAAGTTTTCCGTCCATCTACTCGCATCGTCTAACGTCACTTGTGATCTATCGGAAACCGGTGTTCTGACATAGCTGGACCGTTGCCTGAATATAAAAAAAAATCTTAGACAAAACACAAAACGAGATTTTTGACAACTATGGAAATAGCGATATCTGTATGATAAAACTTTGACTTCAACGAAAAATACCTAGACAGAAGAAAATTAAGACGCGGATGTATAAAACGTTTTCCTCTGCAAGCTCTCTCGAGATAGAAAAAAGGCAAAGCTAAATAGTGAGCTCACGGCGCTGTCACACTAAATCTGTCACCAGAAATGACATAGAGCCTCGCTGACATCGACGGTACAAGTCTCCCATGGAACGGATCGACGCCAGGTAGTTTTAAATGTGGCTCGGGCGCGCGCTCGCCATCTGCCGCACGCGCTGCGAACCATAGTTTACGTCTTTTTCAATTAGATAATTAGAGAAGTTCCATCTCACATTTTATCTTTTCTAACGACCTTAATGGCTTTTTCACCGGTGATGCCGTCGAAGAAGTTGCTACTTTTTTAGATTTATGCCGAACAAAAGTGAAATTGTTCGTGTACTTTAAAGGAAAACGTTTAGTTAAAGGATTAATATATCTACTTATACCTGGATTTGAGATAGTACTTTGGCTGTTTATGTTTGATTCTCTTCCGTTTTTAAAGGCCCGACATAATATTTTTAAATAAATTCAAAATTTAATTTAAGTTATTTTTACAATAAAATACAAAGCAAAAAAGCCGAGTCTCATTATGATTATAATTATTATCTGTTATTACTATTATTAAACATCCCAAAAGTGTCTTTCTGCCGAGGAGCAAGGGGGAAGACACCACCTACCTGCTGAGCCTTATGCAGGCTCAGAACTCCAATGCAAGGACATCAAGTTGGCGAGTCATCAATTCGGAGGAGAAGGATCATGGTCAGGTCCTCACAATATAAATGGACCTCAAATCCAAGGAGGCAATAGAGAAAGAAGGATATATCCTCTATTAAAGATTCGGGACAACACCGGTATCAGGTCTAAGGAGAGACCAAGTTAAAGAGGTGGAGAAAATGGAGACAGACCCTCTAGCCTCCACCTCACAGGTGCCTGAGCCGGAGACAAGATCTGCGACTGTGAAGGGCACTGAGGGCCAAACCTCAACTATGGAAGGGTGTTTACCCTCGGAGGAGGAACTCAAGAAAAGAGGACACAATAGATCTTTAAGATCGCAGTGATTAACCTCCCTCCCACTTATTCTACACTCATTACTATTATTTCGATTTTCAATTAAATAGAGTACTTAAGAATGTACAGGGTGGGTCAAATTCGACGCTTTTAAATGGAAACACCCTTTTCTATAGGAGATAGACAAAAACTAATATCGGTGTCTGGAGCTCAATTTTTGTCAAAAACATGATGGTGAAAACCTCATATCGATACCTGTTACCGTTTCGGAGTTACGGGGTGTTTTTCAAAAATATGCATTTTTAACAAATCGCTGTAACTTTTTTGATATGTGAAATTTTGTATTTTTATGAAAACATTTCCAAAGCACCTTTTTACGTAGAACTTAATGGTTTAAGTATATTTTTTTTAGAATTAATAATTTAAAAATTATCAACAAAAATTTTGATTTTTTATATGGGACACCCTGTATATTTTTAATTTATTGAAAATAATTTAAAATTACCTTTCTAAAAATATAAAACACTTGATATTTTGCTCTATTCCTCTTCGAGATATAGAGTATATAAAAATTCGCCCGCTTTAAATAAGTAGGCTTTCAACGGCACCGGCTGTAATGCAAAAAAATTCTAGCTGTGAGTATCAGTTAAAACGAAAATAATATTTGCTATGAGAGATGCAGAATTTTATAACAATTTAAAATATATTTAACCAACATCAACACATTTAAACTATATCTAATAACAATAAAAATAAATAGCAAACCAAGACATGAGATTTTGCTACAGGTGTTCGACATATCAACCGTCTTCTGTTTATGGACAGACGGGGCAGTATTTGAACATTTCTCGCGGAATTCATTAACTCAGTAGGGGTGAAAGATAACATCTTATAACTCCTAAGTATTTCTAATTCTTGTCTAGATTATACGGAATAATAAGGAACCTTTATTCTTCCGCAAATATATTCATAGGATTAGATCCATGGTCCATGGGCACTAAGCAACGGCTGGGATCTTGAAATTGGCTGCAAAAATTTGCTGATAACTTCAGCGTTTAGAGGCGGTGCGTAGTCTTGCTGGAAAAATATGTTTTCGAGTTCCATTAAGGGCATAGCATCAGTTAGGGGTCCAAAGCCTACTAATTAAAAGTGGCGAACTTTTAAAAATTCTGTATTTCGAAGGGGATTATAACAAAATATCAAGTGTGCTATATTTTTGGAAAGGAAATTTTAAATTCTTTTCAGTTAATTAAAAATATAGAGAGTATCCCAAATAAAAAATCAATTATTCTGTTGATAACTTTTAAATTATTAATTTTAAAAAAATTATACTTAAACCATTAAATTCTACGTAAAAAGGTGCTTTGGAAATGTTTTCATAGAAATACAAAATTTTCCAAAGCAAAAAAGTTACAGCGATTTGTTAAAAATGCACATTTTTGAAAAACACCCCGTAACTCCGAAACGGTAACAGATATTGATGTGCGGTTTTCACCATCACGTTTTTTATGAAAATTGAGCTCCAGACACCGATATTAGTTTTCGTCTATCTCTTATAGAAAAGGGTGTTTCCATTTAAAAGCGTCGAATTTGACCCACCCTGTACTTCTCTTCAAATTGAATATCATCTACAACTTCTATAATTAATGAATCGGTTGAAGTCCCAGAAATATTTTTTTATATTCAGTCGAAGTGTGTTTACACATTTTCAATGACTTTCTCAAATTTACAAAGCCATCATAATAATGTAATTATACAACAATATTTTCCTATAAACTAAAATAAACTAAGAACATCTGTATATTATTTAAAATTTGTAGTAAAGTGTATAAGTATTTGTAAGCCTCTAAAAATAATTAATGTACAGCTGAAACTTAATACTGGCGTTTAATTAGCATTAACATTCTTCTCTTCTGTTTCAGTTTAATCATTGATAATAGCATGATTACGATGGAGTGCCAGCCAGGGGGTCACGGCGGACACCTGGGGCACTCCATGATGCTGGATCACACTGGCGCCATGCATCAGCAAGACCAGGACCATAAAAAGAAGCGTAAGTACTTTTTTACTTCACTTTTTATTTAATTTTGTTCCTCGTCCTTTCGTTTTTTAAGTATCCGAAGGTTAAGAAGGTTAAGAGTTTATTTAAAATAGAAAAATGAACCAATGAGACTAGATTAATGTCACTACTGACTCTAAAATTTGGAAAATATCACATTATATACCAGTATAGGGTGTCCCATTTTCGTGTATTATATCGTGTTTCTAGTTTATGAGTAGAGATAGAACGATGCGGTTTCCACTATGCTACTTTTTTATGAAACTAAATATGCTACACACAAATTTGTCCTTGTCCCTTTGCTTTCTGTAATACAGAGCAAATTTGAAAATATTACATTTCCGACCCCCTTTGTATCTTGGTTATCTTATGTAACGAAAATGTGAAAACTGAGTCCCGTAGAGTTTGTTAGGTAGAATCTAGTGTAGTCAATTTTTAAGTTTAACTTAAACTTTAAATATTTTATTTCTCAAAACTGTAATATCTTTATTTCTGAAAAATAAAAACGTTTATTACATTAATCGGCCCGTACCCATTCGAGCCGCTCTATAATAAAGCCCAAATCCGTAAGGAATACCATCACCAAAACCCATACATTACCGAAAGGTAATCTCGATAATACTCCACCCGACCGGCGATCAATTTAATCAATTTACAATCGGTCTCTTATTGATCGATTAATTTTAATCAAGCCGTTGTGTATAGGACCAATTTTCCGTAACTCATACTGTACTATAAAAGCCGGGAGAGAAATTACGGCACACGCTAAATTATTAAAGAATAATGTTCTGTTTTACTACACCGTATATAAGTTTGGATCGTAAAAATATCTCAGGGTAAAATTATGATTCGCTCTTGTAAAGCCCCGTCTACACATAACGTTTTAACGTTGATGGACTTCCATCTGAAGAACATCTTCCCCTAAGAACATTTTACCCAAAACAGAAATTTGACCGAAAAAAGCAATAATCAAATTGGCCGCTTTTAAAGGAAAACATCTTTATCTATAGGATATAAGCAAAAACTAATATCGGTGTTTGGAGCTCAATTTTTATCAAAAACATATTGGTGAACGCGCATCCATATCTGTTACCGTTTCGGAGTTACGGGGTGTTTTTCAAAAATGTGCATTTTTAACAAATCATCTAGTTTAAATTATTATAAAATTCTGCATCTATCATCACGCAAATTCTATTTTCGTTCAATTGCTGCTCACAGCTAGATTTTTTTTGCTTTACAGCCAGTGCCCTTCAAAGTCTACTTACTCAAAGTAGACGAATTTTTAAAAACTCTATATCTCGAAGAGGAATCGAGCATAATATCAAGTATGCTATATTTTTGGAAAGGTAATTTTAAATTCTTTTCAGAGAATTGAAAATATATAGGGTGTCCCATATAAAAAAACAAATTTTCTGTTGATAATTCTTAAATTATTAATTTTACAAAAATTATGAACCACGTTTTGAAAAACACCCCCCACTCCGAAACGGTAACAGATATCGATGTGCGGTTTTCACCATAATATTTTTGATAAAAATTGAGCTCCAGACACCAGATATTAGTTTTCGTCTATCCCCCCTGTACATGTCATCATCCAAGATACTAGTTGTTAAAGTTGGACTAATTGACAGCTATATTGAAGTAACGTGAGCTAATAACATATCACAGCCACCTAGATTTTATCAAATATTAAAGATCTACGGACACTAAATCATAATAATGAAAAACTCAATAGTATTTTGAAAAGACATGAATTCCCCATTGAAATATCGGAATAATATACTGGATGTTCCATTTAAAATAAAAGAGTACCTAACTTGCTTTTAGAGGTGACCAATGTTTAATATTAATTTTGTCTCACCCTGTATAACATTTTGGGTCAATTTTTAATTTGATTTAAAGTACAATAGTTATTTTAACTACATATTAGGTTATACCGGGTAAATTCCAATTTAGGTAGCTTTTATTGTAATTTAAAAAATTGTACTTTATTTTTAGAAAATGTTAAATATTATGTCAAAAACCTTACATTTTAGTCATATACTTCTCTAATAAATCTCACCTTTATTTTTTTCCCAGAATCTGAAAATCAATTAATGTACAGGGTGGTCCGAACTGTAGTATTCCGGAAACTTCGGCAGCATATTCTGCAGATAAAAATAAGTAAAAAAGTTGGTATAAATGTATGTCGTAGAATGCTTAGTTTCGGAGATACAGGGTGTAGTTTTTTCATTTTTATTTCGATTTGTTCCAAATAATTTCTGAAGTAACGTCAATATTTTGATGAAAATTGGTGTCTGTGAATTTCTTGACATGAGAAATTTGATTTGGATGTCATATTATATGACTCCTATTTGTAGGTGGCGCCACATACATGTGTTTTAACTATTTTGAAGAGTAATAAAAGCTTTTTTTTCGTCAGTACCTGTATAAAATTACTGAGTGAAAAAAGATACATTTTCGTGATTTTTTACGTAAAAAATGTCTCTTTTGTTAAAAATAACTACGAGCAACCGCTCTCAAGATATTCAGAATGGAAATAGTCAATACATGTCATTATTGACAAAAAATAAAAATGTTGAGTAGGTAGTTATTTGACTGAAATAATAAATTTAGTAAATATTTATTTTTTTACATTAGTCATAAATTTTTCTGCGAAAGAATGATGATAAAATAGTTTATGTTGAACTTTTGGCACAAAAACATCTCAAAATTATGATTTCAGTCTAATAACTATTTAGTCAACATGTTTAATTTATGTCAATGATGACGGGTATTGATAATTTCGATTCAAAAAAACTGGAGAACCATTACGCGTAGCGATTTTTACCAAGAGACCTTTTTTATGCAAAAAAACGTCGTAACTGTATATTTTTACTTAGTAGTTTTATACAGGTACGGACGAAAAGTTATAACTCTTCAAACCAGTTAAAAATATGTAGGTGGCGCCCTCTACAAGTAGGAGTCATATTGACATCAAAATCACATTTTTCATGTCAAAAAACTCCCAGACAATTTTTATTCAAATAAAAAAAAATCGAAATAAAAATGAAACTTCTACACCCTGTATCTCCGAAACTAAGCATTTTAGGGCATACATTTATACGAACTTTTTTACTTATTTTTATCTGCAGAATATGCTGCTAAAGTTTCCGGGTGTTCACACTTGATCACACGGTCAGTGATACTTCTGACCGAAACGTTGTGTAAGCAAAATATACAGACCGGACCACCGTAGTAGTAACATAGGCAGAACCGGACGAATTAGCGTATACCCGTCCGCCGGATAAAAAGCAGGCGAAAAAATGCGATAAAATAAAAATAGGTCGATATGTGATAAGAATGTTTCAGAATTTGTATTTATTCGTGTTTTAATAGCCAAAACGAATACGTAGATTCTCGCCACAGTTCTCGTGTAAAATTTATTTTTTAAGTAAAATAATGGATGTTTATGAAGTTCGTGAGAAAATTCAAATTGTAAAATGGTATTTCCAAAATAGGTCGTATCGGGATATACAAACAATTTTTCCACAAACTTTTGTAAACAGGCCAATTCCATCTCTATCTACTATATCAAGAGTTATTAATAATTTTGAAACACATGGGTGCGTATCGCCACAAAAACACAAAAAGCCTGATGTGTTGATTAATGAAGAACAGGAGTTAAAGCAAGTGTTCGTTTGTGCTACCGCGGATCAAAATCCCACGTTTTCAAGTAATCAAATTGCTGAGGTGGTTGCCCTGCCCACAATGCCCGTATTGTTTAAGAATATTTGAACAATACTTTTCCCAACCGTTTAATTAGTGGATATGGAACTATTTTGTGGCCCTCTAGATCACCAGATCTTTCTCCCAATGATTTCTTTTTGTGGGGTTATATAAAATCCAAAGTGTATGGTCATAATAGGGCTAATAATCTGGATCAGTTTCAAGTAAAAATACGAGAGGCTTTCCAAACTATTAGCTCTAATATGTTAGCCAATGTCAGACGGGGATTTTACGACCGCCTCTGTCTAGCACAAGAAGGTGGTCTATAACTTTTTTTTATTTAAAGTAATATTATAGTTTTTTTTGGGTTTAGAGAATTTATTTATTTTTAGTTTTGGTTTGTAAACACACTCAAGAGTGGCAGTGACTCACTCGGCAGTGACTCTCGAGTACGATCGCAAAACGGGTAAGCGTAAATACGTCCGGCAACTTGCTATGTTACTAGTAGCCTGGTCTTCTCTGTATAAAGACAATGGAAGTCCGAAACTCTTTTAATTTTAATGTATAGTAGATATTTAAGAACAAAACTTTTTACTTCATTTGCAGGAATATAATTACAATATTTTTATTATTTAATTTTATTATAATAAATTAGTTTTTTAGAAGGCTTGTCCGCCTAATTTAGTTAAAGCAAAATTTTCGTTTGTTTTTTTTTTCACATTGTTTTATTTAGTAGGTACGTTTTGACTGAACAGATGATAAGGCATAAGGGAAAAAGTTATGTGTAGACGGCGCTTAAGAGAAATACCTGTCTGCGATGATATTTCAAGTTAATTGCGAAGGTATTTCATTAGTTTATCGTATAAATATAGAAATTATAAAGAAGAATGGTAACATCGCAATATAACCGTTAAAGAATAATAACTGTAAACCTAAGAAATATTTATATTTTTTTCTTATCGATAATAAATGAATGAAGCTGAAAACATAAATGAATTCCCATTGGTTATTATCTACATTAATCAACATAGAAACAAAAACGCTAAGCCCAATCTTTGACAAAAACGCATCGGTGCCTAAAGTAAGAAACGATATAATCTGAAGGAATAAATCAAAATCTTCCGCGACAAAAACCTATCTCAATAAGTCGAAAATTACACAGCAATTTTTCTATAAACAAATTATTTCAAAGCGTCGGTCTGCCGCCACAGACTCATTTAAATAAGCTTCAAATTGCTTTGACGCTATGGGCTATCACTTGTCACCGATGGGAAAAAAAACAAATT